TGCAGCCACGGACCATTTCATCGGCCTAATATAATTACTTCACTATAACTTGTTTAGGATATTAAATCAAATCTCCCAACTCATTCATATTTCTCTGAAGCTAGTTACAAAGAACAACCAAAAATAACCCTTAATGGGAACATTCACATCAGGCAACAGGGTTTGAGTCCTGAGCGGCCAGATAATGTTTTATGTGGATATACATTAACTTCTGGCTCCGATTCTTGCAGACCCATTAAAATGAAATCAATCATGTTTCTGCAGTTGGAGCCAAACCTTACAGGTGCAAACCTTAGACGACTCATACAGTATTATTTCAAATGATAACTTAAATCCGACCACTCATAATTCGTCGCCCTCTATCCCAACCTATCCTTGCTTCGACTCCTCCTTCCTCTGCCCTTGTTATTTATAACCTCCTCTTCATTCTATCCATCCACCACTTATTTCATCTAAATCCACCATCTACCTCTATTGCTCCTCCTATGATCTCCCCTACTTTCTCTTTTCCTTTCCTTGCCCGATCTATGTTACAACACTTCCTCTCTACAGGCTCCTTCCCTTCTCAGACACCAAATCTGGTTCTCTGTGACCCTCTACTTCCTCTTTATATCAAATTACTATTTTTCCTCTCCTCTTACTTGGCTGCTCTTAAGGAGAAACTCTAAGATGTTCCTCTATGTGCAGTAGATTTATAGGCCATGATAAATCTGCTCGCACAGTGGCTGCTGTGTCTGTACAGAAGCCCTGTTGTCAGTCAGCCAAACAACAGGCTGCACTAGCAGAAAGCAGTAATCCAATTTCAATAAAGACAAACCAAGGTCTTTCCTATACAGTATTCATCTGCCTCAAGCGAATGCTCCCCCTCTGTCCTACCTCTCCTAACACATGCTTGGGGTTTTATAGGAGAGAGGAGGCAAGTGTCCTTGGCAACCTTCTCTGATTTTAATCATATAATGGTAAACAGCTACTGCAGAGTGTTAAAGCTCGTGGTGTAATTTACCCATTCGTAATATCATAATGTACAAAGCAAGGGATTACACATATATTAAGTTTGTTTTTCAAAGAGATCATCTCTATTATATCAGTGTAGTTCTGAGCAATTGAGCAAACCCAGTAAACCACATGACTGCAATATAAAGCTAACTTCAAAGTGACATGAATCCATCAACATAATGGATGACAATATGGCCGGCTTCTGCAAGCAGCCATTTCATATTCAATCTCCATAACAGCAATGTGTCCTGTTAATTGTCCTTGAGCAAGAACTCCCAGATGTTCGCTGAGTAAAAGTCACTCCTGAAGGAAATTAACCTAATTAACCCACACTATAATTTATACTAGGGCCGGGACTTTAACGCGTTAATTAAGATTAATTAATTACACAAAAATTAACGCGTTAAAAAAATTAACGCATTTTAATCGCACTTATTTTTGCACCGCGGAACGTTTCTCACTGGATGAGTTTCAGGCGTACCGATTATACTGGAGCACCAACTAACGTTCATGACTTCAGACAACAACAAACCACAGTGAACAACAGTGGGAAATGTTGTTTTAAAAAACGGACGGATGGAAGCGTCGATAAGAGCACGGTTGTGTGCAAATTATGCAAAAAGGAATTCGCATATCACCGCAGCACATCAAGCCTCAAGTATCACCTCAATGCAAAACATATAGCAGCTAGCGTGGACGTTAGCCTCTTTTATCGCGTTCACACCAAAAAGAGCCGGTACTAAAATTAGTTCATGAGAACCTTTGTACCCCCACGAAAGTCCCTGCTAGAGAGCAGAGAGCTGCTAGAGAGCAGGGACTTTCGTACGGCTCTCTTGTGAGAAAATAGCTATATTTCTGATTGGCTGGGCGGATTGCAAACCACGCCCCGTAAAACTCCCAAAAAGTTTTGTGAAGCCGCCATTTTATTATCCTCGCATTAGCATTATTAGCATTAGCCCAGCGCAGAAACGCAGAGAGACTAACTTATGGCAACACAAAATAAAACATGGGAGCGGTGGAGATGAGGAGGTGTCGGCGTTCTGGCGATTTACTCGGAAGGCTGCTGGGACTCCCAGCAGCTTCTACTGAAGCCAGTCCCCAACTCCGGGGACTTCCGGCCGGGGACTTTGGGCGGCAGTATACGCCGTGAAGTGGTTTGCGGCCTGCCAGTAAACCCAAAGCAGAAGAAGAAGAAGTGACGTCAGCGGCTTCATTTGCCTAATCCACCCCCAGGTTCAAGAGTTCTCATGAACTAAATTCTCATGAACCTTTGTGGGAAAAGTACTGCGGTGTGAATGCGCCTAATGGTATACTAAAATCCATGTGAAAAAAATTGCTTCTCACTGTTCTTAGGTCAAATATGTATATGTGATTAAAAATGCGATTAATTTCGATTAATTAATTACAAAGCCTCTAATTAATTAGATTAATTGTTTTAATCGAGTCCCGGCCCTAATTTATACACAACATGTATTAATAATTACATTAAATGCTGTTACACTAATAAACAAGTTAAAATATCTAGTTAAGGCTGTACTAAAAAAAACACTTTAGCAGACAGAAGACATGCCGACTCAGCAACACAGTGAATTATGAGCTGTAATGAACACACGCATGTAAACAATTCTCACAGCCATTGTCTCACTTTTGTGCTAACAAAAAAGGATCACTTTGAAATATGTTATAAATCCAACTACACAGTGGCTTTTGGGTTAGAACCACATGGAGCCACTGTATACAAATGACCAGAGGTGGGGGACTCGAGTCACATGACTTGACTTGGGTCAGACTTGAGTCGCATAATTTTGGACTTGAGACTTGCTTGACTAACATTGATAAAAGACTTGACTTTGACTTGGTATTCATGACTTAAGACTTGACTTGAGACAGATGGCTCGAAAGGACTTTACTTTTTTTAATTAAATATTTGCATTTGTTTTTGTATTGTACGTAGCCCCTATAGGGCAATGAAAAAAAAAAAGATACTCTATCTCGTTCGCACGAGAAAGTTACCGGAGCACCAAGTAGGAAGTGGAGCACACAGGAGACAACCGTTTAATTGCAGACTGTAATGTTTATGTTGGGAAATGGCAGTGCATACATTATTTTAGATATATTTCAAACTCGGACTCTCATTCACTTCATGAAATCGCTACAGAACCAGGAGGCAGCGGGACGTGTAACTCCGCCTCTGAGAAGTGCAGCACCAGCGTGCAAAGAGCTGTGCCTTTTACGCAACGCCTTCACTGTGTTTACTTTCATTAGAACAGCTGAAGAGCGACTGCAGGCTGCTACGTTTAACCACACACCTCTACACACATCGAACTGCCCGATTAATCCCCCTATTACTCGTTTTATGAAGGAGATGTCCGGTCACTAAGGCGCATGATGCGTGTGTGTTTGTGCTCTGCTCAGCTCTGCTCTGTGTGTGTGTGTTCGGTGTTTGTGTGTGTTCGACAACGGCATTTGTTTTCAAATGACCATGAACAGTAATTTACACACATCTGGCCAACTCCATATGTATATGTGGGTGTTCCCAAATGAAAGAAATGTGTTTAATCTTAATGTCTCACTGTCTGCACACAAACACACATGCGCCCTGGTACATCCACTATTCCGTTGTATTGGCTTTGATGCAATATTTATTTGTGCACGGACACAGTTAGGAGAACAATGAGACAGTGTCATATGGGAGCACCTTAGACAGACCATGGAGAAATGCTGTGACCCTGCTGAAGGGGAGCCAGGACAGGAGGCTCAACATGTTGATGTAAAATATTTGTGTTACTCCTGTTATCACTTTAGAGCCCTTTGAGAACTTATAGGGTTATCATTTCAGCGCCCCACTCTCCATTGCTGTTTATGTTGAAGATACAACTAAACTTTTCATAACCACAATATTTTAGATGATTTAAATGCGGAAACTGGGGGAATTTCGTATGACTTGACTTGTGACTTGCTTGACTCTCACCACAGTGACTTGGGACTTGCTTGAGACATGTAGGTTAAGACTTGAGACTTGCACATGTATGACTTACTCCCACCTCTGCAAATTAATCAAAAGGTAGCAGCAGTTTTAAAGAGCCTAAATGTCAAGGTGACTTTGAGAGACAACACACACTGCTGCCTGAACCTCAGAAAGACCAATGAATGATGTGACCAAAATGAATAAATGATGTGTTAAAAAAAAAGTGGATGCAGATTCAGCAGATTTTTTGTCTTGCTAATTGAAACCCCCACTCCCTTGCATGGGCTTCCTCACTGATGTCCCAACATGCACTCACGGAATAAATCGCAGGACTTATCAACTCAATTTCCTGCCGACTGAGGAGACCTCTCAATGCCCGGTGCTTGACATCAGTATGTGACGACAAAGAGGTTAAAACTAATAACTCAGCTGAAAGCTCTTGGTGTAAAAACCATATCCAGGGTCAACATGTCAGCTGCACATTATGGTCTCTGTGAAAACGACCACCCATAACCTCCACTGCCTAAAGTGGTAACTGTAATAACAACACATTTGTAACTGAGGCTCGTGTGCGTGTCAACGCGTGCTTGTACGTGTCGGATACTGGCATTCATTGCCTGCTGACCTGACGTCTAAGTTTTGGCACACATTATCTGTCAGCGCTGGATATGACCCTAATGTGCCGAGTGATATTTACAAGAGACAGTCAGAGCAGGTCTACACGCCTTCGGAGCACCCATGCAGCCTCAGCTGTCTGGAGCCTGTTGGCTGAACTGACCTGCTGCTATATGCTAGAATGCTAACTTAGCGTTCAAAAAGGACACATTACGTGTGTTTTTGCTTTAAAACTTTGACAGGAAGTAGTGCAAAGATATGAAATCATATCCATTAGAGGGCGTAATGGATGCTCATTATTGGCAGGCTGGAGGTAAATGTTGGCAGGATGTGACTTGACATCATTAAGGGAAAACGTGTGTGTATTTCTTTGTACAGTATGTGAGCCTGAGGGTTGTGTCTGCCCATGTCTGGTACTCACTCCTTGGGTGGGTTGATATCTTCAGGTCTGGTTTCGAAGAACACTCTGACCTCTTCGCACTGGGAGATGTACACTGGAAGCTGAATGAGGGCCTGCATGCACAAAGACAGCATAAAAGTTAGTTAATCACATAAACTGACAAGTACAATCACTCCAGTGCATACAGAAGTCAAGCAGAGGTTAAATATAGTGTTCATGACTGTCTGGGCTCCCTAAAGTCACGGAGCAAGCAATTACTACAGACATTATTATCTCAGACTTCCCTCCTCACAGGGGAGGAAAACAGTGTTACAGTGTCCAAAAGGCATGATGAAACTTGTTTTATCTAAACGGTCTGATGGTGTTTTGGCTTTAGTTTTTACACAACATAAAAAGTGTTTGTCCCCTTGAATGCTTTGACAAAGAATAGTTTTTCTCTATTAAGATTTCATTTCCCAAACAATTATTTGCACCATACATGACATATTTGGATATCCTCAAAATGTTGTTTTTGATAACCCAAGTTGTTTGTCGCCTATTTTACATAAACGCAACAATCATAGGTTCTTATTATGTAATTGACTCCGTTGGTGTTCAATTTCCAGATGAAGAGAATAAACTAGTTATTTTCCGTTGTCTTTATGCAGGGTTTTTCAATCTGTTTTTTGTTTTGTTTTTTTCGTTCATTGACCCGTCTCGCCTACCTTCCTCCCTAATATTTTTCCTCTGTGGAGCATTACTGGTGGCAGAGTGATGGGCCCTGACAACAAGGCTGGAGATGAAAGAAAAACCGCCACATTCAGTTTTCTCTTTATTGTTGTGATCACTCTCTTGCACACACGTCTGATAACATCATGTTATCCCACAGTCTCTGTTTCTTAGCCCTTTCTTTTTTAGTTTTCTCCTGAGTCTGTGTTTTATCTGATTCTCCTACTCTTTCAATCTCTTTCTACCAAACCACTAAAGGGCAGCAGTGAAACAGATAATCACCTCAACACCCTGATGTCCCAAACCAGGAGACAGAATAACTCCCGCCAACGACCCTGTGGTGACTGTCTCTCTTACAGCGGGGAGCTAAGCCACTCCCTCTTCTTCTTTTGCTGGCAGGCTTAGCTCAATGCTATCCATCACGCTTCATCTGCTGGCCTATACCTCTGATTTTAATACTCCTAAGTGTTTCAGCCCTGTCCTTTAAAAAGAGCAGAATCTATGTCTACTTCTCTCACTCTCAGACATATAACGTCATGACTGACAGAAATAGAAAGGAAGCCAAATACTCAACCAAGGTGCCCTTGTCCCATGCGCCACATTTGCCTTGTCATACTTATGACTCTACCTGCATGCCAAAAGCTTGTGTTAGAGGAGAGGAATGGGAATACTGCCATGGATAAAGTATAACTAGTGTTTTCCATTAGCCGTAGAGTATAGTGCTCACATGTTTGTATGTGATTCATGGCACATACAATATAGCTTGATTAAGATGCACCCACATGACCTCAAAATCTACATTTTCACAGTAGCTTCTTCCATAAATTGAGACTCTAAAGCTAAGTAGCTGGTTTAAAGGTCCCATGTCATGCTTTTCCGGTTATTGCCCGTCCCCTTGTGTGTTATGAAGGTTTTTATGCATGTAAACAGTCTGCAAAGTCACAAACCCTCAAAGTACACCCTGTAGCGAGTAAAACTCTAACACAGAAAATACCTGTCTATGCTGCCCCAGAACGCCGCACTGGGGGGGAGGGGTGCTAGTGGAGCCTCGCAGCGGCGAAACTGTGGCGCGCTTACACTGTAGGCGCGCCACGTTTGGGGGTGCGGGTGCTAGTGGAGCCTCGCAGATGGGGGTGCTGCAGCCCCCTCAGCATCCCCTCATTCCCGCGTCCATTCGCGATGTCTCGCAGACCCCACGCAGCAAGCAGGAAATGAACCCAGCTCACACTGTCCGCTCCTCGCAGCAGCGAGCCGCGCAACGTCACGCCAACACGGCACCCAGACCCCACGCAGCATTCTCATCTGTTTGTCATTGCTGGTGTCATTTTCTGGTTGCTAACGCCATTGTAACACATAATCACTGATGTTCCGCTGTAACGGTGGTAGACTCATCAGAACAGAGTGGGAGGGGGGGCAGGAGCTCCAACAAGCCGATTAGGACAGAGAGTGAATACACATACTATACAGAGATGCTGTATGCGAAACCAATGTGAGTTTGGAAAATTGCACAGTATAAATCTATTCTAGTTGACCTCAACAATGGAATTATGATCAGTTGAAATGGCCATGACATGGGACCTTTAAGAGTTTTTATGGGTGACCTCCAATGTGTATTCCCTCAGCCGACACTGTTGCACTGTGTCTGAGGTCAGAGTGCATCCTAAACTGGCCATCCTCTCCTTGGATTTATTCCTCCCCTCATGTCAGCCTGTGGGCCGTCCTCTCATTATAATTCTCCCTTGGGAGGAGACACGAGGGAGGCTCAGGGTACATTACAGCAAATGGACTTTATGGGTGTTCTTTACAGCAGGCAGCATTAAGGTAATTGTGTGTGTGTGTGTGTGTGTGTGTGTGTGTGTGTGTGTGTGTGCGTGCGTGTGTGTGTGTGTTTTTTTCTCCAAGGAAAAAAGGTAATGGAAATGAGAGATCTATTTGTGCACTCCAATAAGGTACAGTGCATTGTGAATGCATCTGAGCACAATAACTTTGCACTTGTACATAGAGCTATTAGATAACCTCAGTTGTAAGGTTATATTTTTCGTTCTGATACATCTCAAATAAATCACTACAAAATTGTGGAGACTCTTTTGAAAAAAAGAAAGAAAATAAAGACTTTTTGAGGAAATAGACTTCCTTTAATTGTAGTCGTTCAGTTATAGAACTCTTTTTTATATATATTTTAATTACTGGCAAATTAAATTGATGTTAAAACGACTTTATAACTCTTTGATGTGATGCATTTCAAGATGTGTGACCTTCCAAGTCATCCTAGCTCAGCAGTCTTACTCTTGGTTTATGCAAACAGTCCCTGACTCCATATTCTTTCTTTCCTTCTTTCTTCTCTTCGACTGCGTTTCCTGAGCTGAATAAAAACACAAAACTTAACAACCGGGGAAATTCCATATGAGTCAGGTTAAAGCCTCAGCTGTACAACAAAAGGGCTGAATCAGCTCTTCTCTGGAGAAAAACATGAATGTTCACGTTGTCAACCTGGATGCATGTGGGGGTGGATGAAAGTGCCATTTTTGTGCTTACGGACAAGTTCAGATTTGTTTGAGAAGTTACTGTAATACCCTGAAGTCACTTCATCCTGACCTATATGATGCTATCGTGGGCTGCTGACATGTTTTTCCACTATATGCTCTCACATACATTGTTAATGTAAATGATTGCTTACTAAAAATCTGAATCCTGTACACTGTCACTTTGTTACTTATTCCCAGACCTTCATTAGGTCAACCCATACATCTTTATTTCTTTAGCAAAATCATTATGTGAAAATATAAACATCACTAAGCTTAAACCCTCAATAATGTTGAAGAAATGTGGATGTCAATCAAAGACCCAACCTAACAAAACAATCAACATTAAATGTGTTTTTCAGACATTTCCATAACAAGACCCTCAAATACAGCAAGACAAACTGGTGTAAAAACTTCTCAGCTATTCCCATACACATCCACACCCATCGACATGAACAAACAACTTTACCCATTACTCCCCCAAACTTTTATTTTTCACATAAGTGTTTAAAGATGTTGCCTACACTACATTCCTTTAATCCCGGACGACATATGGGGAAGTAGAGCTTTATATTCTCCAGTCCCTCCAGTTTCCACCGATGTTCACCATACATAAAGATATGTCTTCACTCTGAGGCCTTGTGACCTATCAGCACCATAACAGAAACGAACATGAACAACGATGGTTTCACTAGGCTCTTTATGGAGAAGTGATACAATAATACAGGTGAAAATGCATGAAGGTATGAGTAAGGGCTAAGTCAGAACTAACATCCTCACATTTCCTACCTCAGAGAGACAGATGGAGTTGTGTGTTTGGGTTAGAGGCCCAAAGGCAAGCTTGTAAAATAAAGAGAAAATAACACAACCTATGGGCTGTGGATGTGCTGACTGGAGCAAACTCAGCAAGCTCTCTGCCTTTGGCACAACTCTCTGCAGAAAGTAACCACGACAACATGAGATCCATTAACAGCTCAGCCATCCTAGTGTTTCTGAAAATATCCGTTTGGAGTTGCCCGATCATAAAAGGTAATGAACCCATCTTGCAAAACAAGCTCACTCAGTGGTTTCTGCAGATAAACAGTTGGCAACCTAATGAAAAAAATGGAAATGTTATACATTTATTGTTTTTTTTTTAATGGAAAACTATTCCTTTGATTTAATTTCAAGGGCAAACAACCTCATCTTGGTGCTAAGAAGCTGAACATCAATCACGGTTTATTCACTGATGTTGCCGTAGTTACATTTATGTCAAATTGTAGCAATTAGTTGCTAGCTATTGGCAGTTGTGTGGGTGCAGTTCTGCTACAGTGGAGCCTGAGAATGTACAGTTGCATTTTCTCTGGATGCCAAGTGATTAATCTCTTTGGTAAAAGCCATGTAATAGGGTGGATAATGCACAGATTTTACATTCTCTGTATTAACTGGTGGAAATGGCTGCAGTATTTTTAAAAGGATACAACTGACACCACAAACACATTACACGCTCTTTAGAAGCGGAGTTCATCATATTTTGTTATCGCTGACAGCAACTTAACAGCGGAAACATATTAAGGACATTTCTAAATGTCTTCTGGAGGTTAATCGTACATTTGGGAGGAGATAGGACGTCTTATTCGCATTTCGCCACACACAAACCAATTTTTGCCCTTTCAATATGGATCCCTTGAGATAGACTCTCTTTGAGTTTGTCTCCTTTAGCAGGGAGGTCAGAGTCAGCTACAGAGCACCTGGGGAGATTTTAGGACACCTCAGCAGGCTGAATGCCTTCTGTCACAAAGGCCTGCTCCAGGGAATTTAGCATGACACACAGAGCACAGTGCACATTTTCAAAGCAAGGGCAATGGCATAATTCATACAGCTGTTCTTGGAACACTGTAATCCTAGAAAAACGTTTGTTATGCATCTCCAGTAGTGTGGCTATGAGCTCAAATAACTACATCTTTCAATTGGAATATCTGACAGATAAATGTCCCAAATGTGTAATCCAAGACATATCCAACCATAAAAGAGCTACTCCTGAAATCAGATGGTAGGGTTGTTTAGTGTAATCCTGAATGTGCTAAAAATAAACTGGACTTGTGGATCTCCTTTATACACAGAGGGCATGAAAATATTATTTTCCATTTTCTTGTTCATGACTTAGTTGACACATTGTGGGTGGGATCATTTTTTCCTAGCCCTGGACCCACTGTACTTTCTATCTTGGTTTTAGTACTTTGTATTAAAGATTTAAATGGTCTCTGGATAGCTTTTCATATGACTATTGGAGATTTCCACATAAAGAAACAGTATGGTTAATACTCACCCTGCAGTACTCGTTGATGGGCCTTAGCCTTTTCATGGCCACATCTCTGATATGGCTCCTCCTAAACAGGATCTTCCCTGTAACAAAGTATGAAAAAGTGACTTAGAATTCAGGAAAGCCAAACTTATAAACACATATTCATCAGCAACAAAAGGAAATAATTTCTAATTATTGCTCTTGCTGTAATACGAAAGTATGTATACGTTACATAAATAAAAGTAAAAATATATTAAAACATGAAATGTTTGACTTCGTCAAGAGCAACTTTCAATAGGTAGTGATCCACTGAGGGACAACAAGGACACTGTGGCTTTTTAAAAGAATGGTTAGTGAATTAGCATGCAGACACAATACAGTCGTGTCATCAATAACTCTGACAGCACAATGAGGTGGGTAAGGAGCTAGGTGAATAGCTGGCCTTTTCAAAATGAGGTTGGTAAGGAGCTAGGTGAATAGCTGGCCTTTTCAAGTCATGAATAAATGATTTTGGGAAAGCAAATTACGTGTGCATGGCAGCTTAAATCCTATTCCCCTGTTCTTATCTCTAGGCCCAAATACCCACTGGCACCGAGCCTGGTCGCCATAACAATAACCAGAAATGGCTTCAAATAGGCCTCTCAAAACATTATTATAACTTGACAGCAGGACATTTCAGAGCCAGCATCTATTTTCCCTACCAAGACAGCTCTAATGCAAACATATAAAATGGGCAGGAAGTCAAGGCTGCAACGAGATCCTGAACAGAGAACAGGACATGTTTTGAGAAGTTACTGTATCCCCTCCATCAAGGAGTTATGGTATTTATTTAGAATATATTTAAAAAACAGACTTGCTGAAACAAGAATCTATCTCACAGAAGATCGCCACTGGGCAGTCATCCCCCCTACAGCGCCACCCTTTTACCCATGTTACTAAAAATGCCTTTCTGCTTCCTTGACCCATACAGCTCGAAACCACATGTGTTTGTTTTGTGTATTTGAGTGAATGACATATTGATGAAATGACAGAGATTGTTTGTGATCATACCAGTATCTGATTATGAATATGTATGCCCATATGTTGTCTTGTAAATCAAGATTGCATAAAATGATCCATGGAGGAAAGGACTATATAAAGAAAAAAGGGAGAATGTGTAATGAGGCTGCTCAGTGGATTGAGGTGCTGTGACTTCCTCAAAAGATCTCACACATGTTACACAAAAAACACAAACACCCAACTCCCTAAAACACAACCTCTGTACTCTGTCCAACCATCACATATCTGACCTTAACCTACTAGCTGACTGAGATGCACGACGAAACCAAAGGCAAAAACCAAAACAATTTGAATTCATATAGAAGCATGGGAGGGGGAGCGTCCCAGGGAAAATGAGTGATCCCCAATAAAATATTGATTGTTTTTAGTTAAACTCATGTATGATTTTATATGGTTATAATAATATTTGTATCAATGTTACCGATGTTAGAAATGTATGTACAAATTAAATCCAAATCCTTAAATCTTTATTTACAAAAATAAACCACTGGAATGTGATACAATAAGATAGACATGGATTTAGTCATAAGATGTTATATGAAACCTTTGTCTCAAATGTGAAACTTGACATAAACAGAAGTCAAAAGCTATTCTTTAAGGTTGTTGTTCTCAAATGCTGGAAAAAATGTCTGGCTGCTGTAATGAGTGTGTGGATAAGCGACAGAGAGTTTTTATACTTCACCACACTCACTAGGGATCTAAAACAAAAATTGGACCTCAATTTGTTTCTATGTTACAATTAGATACATGAGCATTACAGTTTCCACAGAGCCACCAGCATGGCTGTAGACTATTTCGTCTTGTTGACATGGTCTAAATGGCCTGACCAGCCCAATTTCTTACCACATTTATCAAGAGGGGAACAGTATAGTAATATATGAGGGAGACTATTAAAAGGAGAGATTAAGTAGATGAAGAATGAGAGAAGACATTTTAAATCACTAAGGAGTTGGCAACAACTTGTCAGAGCCGACGAAAGGACACACTGTCAGGACAGCTCACGAAAAAAGAGATTTGAAAGTCAACCCCTCAATGCCTTCAGTACTTCTCCTCCTCCCTTCCTCTCTCTCCGTGTTTCTTCCTCTCCTCCACTAGTCACTCCTCAAACAGAAAGCTTTCGTGACGGTTTTCCAAAGCTCTCAGGGGTCAGCACTGACTCAACACTGCCCACTCTGTATGCGGGGCAGCACATGGGTGCAGCTGAGAAAAAAGGCTTGTTTAGGGAAGGAGGCGGGAGGAAAGTAAAGCTGCAGCCTTGGAGCCATGGCAGAGGCAGGGCAGACTTTATGGTAAAACTCAGAGCTAGCAGTGACCAGAGTCTCAAACAACTCTTGTTTTCTGGGGTCAGGGAGTTGGATGGACAGAAGAGACAGAAAGATATTTGAACACAGAGGCTCTTCATTATACACCTCAGACACAGAAAGCTGTTACAACACTCACCTCTTAATCACTGGACATAATCACACATCAATTCCTCCCATTTAACTGCCCTAAAGTTGCTATTAAAAAGATTTTGAGTAGCTAAAACCTTCAAATACCACCAAGGCCGTAGACTTAATACATGGACTTCAGTCAGATGTCAGTCACAAAATTGAGGACAGTAAATCGACTGCTTTGAAATTCGACAACAACTCCATAAGACTTGTCTGCTGCTCCTAATTTCAGTAGACAAGCGCAGTAATTGCTTTCCCTTCAGGCAAAGGATGAACATGATTTGAATGACGCATAAGCAACTAGAACACTCTAACTGTTCGGTTTGTCCTTCATAGAGATCCGACTGTGGAATGTGTTATTCATACCAACAGAAACATATTTGACCTGCCTGACATACTGTGCCTCCTACAGTGGCAGGCAGAGAGATCCCCAAGCAAACAGATGAGGCTGAAAAAATAATGTACTGTATATATATATATCATTGATAGGAGAAGGGAACCCAACAAAATGAAATCAGAGTTGTGGAATAAGAATTCATGAAAAGAATAAAACCCCTTTATCATGCAGGGGCCCGGAGAAAAAAAGACCCACATTCTATCTTAGGTTTTGACTCATAGTTTAACAACACCAACTTTGGATAATTGGTATCAGCTCTTGTTCAAAAGGCTGACCTGCTGGGACCCCCTTAAAGAGCGTCGCTCAGGGGTCACCGGATCAAATGTATCACTTTTATCTAAATGTCAAGATCCTTTCAAAAGGAAACAAATTGAACACCATAAGAGAACTGGCGTATAGATACTCTGCACATGGGATGCAATCTTGAAATAAAAAAATAGTCTACCTCCTATCCTATACTTTTTTTACTAGTTTTTGTTTGTGTAATCATGTAGTGTAACAATACAGAAGCCAAGCTCTTTGATGTGTAAAGCAAAGCATATATTCTGCACTATCCACACATGCAGACTAGCCACTTTGCTGATGTGGAGATACTAAAGAAGTAAAAACAGCTCGCGGCCTTGAACAAACCAAACCGAGAAGAGAAAACCACGTCCTTGCCTTGTTAGGTTAGTCTCAGCCCACAGTCCAGACTTCTGCTTTGTAAGTGAAGGATTTTCTAGGCTGTCAGGAAAATTCCTGTTCATATTAGATCTTCAAAATATTAGCTTGGAATCTGTCTCAGAGAGGTGTATGACCTGATCTGGCATTAGAGACTAGTAATGATCATTCTCTTAAACCTCAATTCATGCAGGCAATAAGCATAAATAATGTATGTCACACATTGTGTCACAAAATAACTGTTTCCAACATGGCACCATTTAGTGTTTAACTTCTTTTTTATATAGAAGTTAAAGCCTCTACCACCAATCAGAGCGTCGGTAGACAGGGATTGGTATGGGACATTTTTTAATTTTAAGGCCTAAAAAGGTAAAAAAAAAAAAAAGGGAAAGAAGAAGAGTTTATTGAAGATGAGAATTGCAAATACTATCCATGGCCAATATGATTCATCTGACTGTATAAAGGGATAGAAGGAGATGGTATGAAAAGCTGTGGTAATCTATCTCTCTTCCCCTCCTCCTACTCAGAGTCCATCAAACAGTCTGCTAGTGTGTGTGTGTGTGTGTGTGTGTGTGTGTGTGTGTGTGTGTGTGTGTGTGTGTGTGTGTGTATATATTCTCTCAATGAGTTCCAGACCTGCGTGGCCACAAAACATATCCTATCCCCCCCACCCGGGGAGATGTGGGTGGGGTCTTTGGGTGAGGCTTTCTTCCAAACTCTCATAAAGGATTACTTTCAGCAGTCACTAAATCTTCAACTATTTCAAAAGTTGGACTAGCACACCCGAAGCCTTTATTCCAAACAAACCTTGTTGGCCATGTTTACTTAAAATAAGAAAGCATTATTTGGCCAGCAGATTTGACTCTGGATGATTCAGACAGGATATAGATGCTGTTGAGCAAGACAAAAGCTCATAATTACTGCCAAACTAGTTTATAAAATAGTTTAATATGTCTATGGGCAATATGCTTAAGGATAAGCTGAGTCAGCTGATAGTGAGTAGATGATAAACATATTCTTTTGATTCACAGAAGCAGTGAGGTTCTCGCCAAACATGGCTGTAGCATATTTTTCTGGTTGGTTCTTTTGTGTGCAAAATGTACAGCTTTTCTAAGTTCATTCACAGCCAGACTCACAGTGAGTCATCATTGTACAAATCTTAACCCATTGTGTGCACATGATGGATAATTCAAAATGAGCAGGGATAAGGAACAGACACAATACAGGGAGCGGTAAATACAGAGTGATTCATGAGATAATACATGAGGTCACTCTTCTCTGTTTATTGTCTTGCAACATTTTGTGCCAAAAAAACAATTTCCATGATACATTTTCAGATAAATTGAATCATTTTTTAATGTTTGTCTTGGTTAGTCAATTTATTTTAATATAATTAAAAACCACATCGTCACATTTTAGAATCTTTGAAGAGTGATTGGCGTTTCTCTTCTTTTGTTTATCAACAAGCCACAGTTGTGTGCGTGCGTGCATGCATTTGTATGTGTGTTAGGGCCTTGTGTGATCTTACTCTTACCTGGTAGGAATGGAATGATCCTGCGCTTAGGGTCTTTTTGGCCTCCTTCCACTGGGAATTTGTCCAGCAATTCCATCTGAAACACCGCAATTAATTAAGATGTATTAGCACACAAAGCATTTACAGTCACGCATAAGCATAAACATGCTCTTTACATTTCACACAACAGGATAGCTGAGGCTGGAGAGGAAAGGTTCATATTTATACAAATCAGCAGTTCCTATAAGGAATTCAGCCAATAAAGGAAGGTCTGCCAATGATTAACAATGTCCTGAGCAGATGGTATGGTTTTCCCCTCTACTTTATATGTTGTTGCAGCAAAGGGGCTGTTAGCGGCAAAGGCACCACTGACATAGTGGAACATTTGTTTCTATGATTTTCAAAGGCCAGGGAGCAGAAATTCTTCAGATCTGCTGATCAACACTTCTTTTGATTCTGTTCCTTTTCTTTAAAATCCACCGCCTATGATAGTCTATTTTTTGTCTCCGTTTCCACACTTTTTACCTTTCTCCCTCTGTACAATATACTGGACACTATGACAGGGCTTTCAAATAGTGAGAACAATACTTTTTATGTCTGTGGTCTGTTCAATGTCAACCTGATTCAATGATATCTATGAAGGCTTTTAAGTGTCAAAACAAACTTGCTTTCAAATATCCATTTTTTTTGCATTTTTTGCATTGTCAAAATATGACTGTATATTGACTGGTAAGAAACACTTATTTCTAGACTATGCATGCAACACTGGCAATACCCAATAGGACATTTCTAGAGATAATGCTTTGGTTCGTTTACCCTCAATGGCTAATCAGATGTCATTTATTTCAGAAACACTTTTTGTTATATTCCATGGAATGCTCTTAACATCCCGATAGCAATACATATATTAAATGATTTGACAATAAATACATACAAAAATGTCATCTGTGGAAGCCGTGGCGTTGTAAAAAGCACGACCAATCATTTTAGCCGGCCCGGCTAAAATAACTGGATGGCCTACCTGCCTGTCAGCCTTCCATCTGTGCACAAACTTATCTCGTGCCCTCATTGGTCATGTGCGCGTTTGTGTGTGTTGGAGGAGGGGCTCTGTAAAGCCCCTGTCACACTGTCCCGAAATTGACACACGATAAAGGAAATGTTCAAATTCGGCTGTGATCATAGCAACATCGGGCCATTCGTGAGGGCATCTTAAGCCATCGTATGACCGCCGATGGAGTTTCTCAGGCTCCGGCAGCAACTTTGTGAGCGGTGGCAAAATCTTTGGCATGCCAAATAATAGCCGAAGGACCTTGCGAAGGTTCATTTTCGTGTTGAATTTGTGTGTCAATTTTGCCCTTCGTAAGGCCATCGTTAGGGCATCTTGTTATCATCGGTGCCATCGGGCATTCGCCCCGATCAGAGTGAGGGCGAATGCACCGATGATAACACGAAGATGACACGATTTGACAAGATGCCCTCACGAGTGCCTTACGAAGTTGCCGCTCACAAAGTTGCTGCCTGAGCCTGAGAAACTCCACCGGCGGTCATACGATGGCTTAAGATGCCCTCACGAATGGCCCGATGTTGCTACGATCACAGCCGAATTTGAACATTTCCTTTATCGTGTGTCCATCGGGTGTCAATTTCAGGACAGTGTGACAGGGGCCTAAGGAAGTGGCAGATTTTTTCCGGTTGTGTATTTTCAAATTCTAGCACACTCGAGCTGGTTTCTCCAAAATTACCTACCCACCTTTAAGATTTAAAAAAAGTTAGTATGAAGAGTAGTATTTCTTTAGACCTGCCAATCTCATTCCGAATTGTATGGATTTTATTATTTCTGTATTACAATGTGAATATCTTATAGATTAGATATGTTAATCTATCGATAATTGGTCTTTTCTGGGATAAAATGTCGACTTTTGATGCGTGTAGGGCAGTTCTCATTCATAACACTCCGTTCGATGTCTCACTATGGGATGCGCGTATGCAAACAGAAGCATCAATCTCATTATGCCAATCCTGATTGGCTGGTGATCTTGACGTCAACGTCAGGGAATCCACCCACCCTTTAAGTAGCTTGCGCTACGACGCAGCGTCATTCAAACACCTCTTCTCGATTCAGAGCACATCTCGACTTATCAGTAACCGGGCTAGCTTAACGGTCCACAGACTGAACCCAAAGCTAACATTCGGTCGACGGGCGCTTTCCGGTTACTTTTTTGCTTTGCAAGAAGACTGAGCAATATTAACACACCAGTTAATATTGTAATCTGCCTCGCCGTTCTTTCTGTCGAAATAACGGTAAGGTTTGATTTTTTCTTCAAGCTAGTAACATACCTGTTGCTAGTTTGTTCTTCCCTCCACACCGACACCACGGTAAAGAGGACGTTCTCTTTTCTCTCACACACCAGAGGAGACAGAGATAAACAAAGGTATTAACACACCAGTTAATATTCTTTAAAGAATAAAATCTACACCGTCGCCTTTTTTCCTTCGGACTAACGGCAAGGTTGGATTTTTTTCTCAGTAACGTACCTGTTACTAGCGTGTCCACTCCACGCCGACACCCCGGCGATCGAAGGTGGACCCTTCTCTCCCTCACACCAGAGGAGTCAGGGACTCGGAGGCTCGGCTATGCGGCTGCGGGTTTCAGATTTCAGGCACAGACTCACACCAGGTCTGCTCGTCCTGCCTCGGGCTGGAACACGCCCGGGAGGCTATCGATAACCCCGGCTCGTGCGGGCATTGTACCCGCTTCACCATGAAGAGCCTCCGCCGACGGTTAGCACGCCAAGCTAGCTTGTCGGGACAGGACACCCTCATGTCCGCTGATTCGCCGTCCGGCAATCAAGACATGGTGGCGTCCGCCGCAGAGATTGAGCCCCGCGCTGTGTCAGACTGGGGCTCAACAACAGCGACAGCCGCTGAACCGGAGCCCCACGCCGTTTCAGGCTGGGACCCGGTGGCGGCAAGAGCCGCGAGAGCGGAGCCCCGCGCTGTGTCAAGCTGGGGCTCCCAATTGGACATCACTATGGTTCCACCTGCGGAGGATGTCCTGGAGTTGGACTACATGGGGGACGAAGAGGATACCTCTGAGTTCCTCCTGTCTGACTTGGATGGGGATGACATCTTCGTTTCATCGGCTCAGGCTGCAAAGCCGGGAGCGATGTCCGCTCCCCCGGGCGAGAGCACACCAGCTTCGCCCGTCCTAAGCATGGACTTAGAGGCCGTGTGTCAACGCGCTGCGCCCAGGCTGGACATCCCATGGCCTGAAGTGGCCAAGGAGACCTCCAGATCTCGCTACGAGGGGAAGAACTTGCCCCAAGCAGCGAGGACGAAGAGGCAGCTCCTTCCAGTCTTTCCGTAGATCGTGGACGAGGTGTCGGTCTCGTGGAGAGACCGTCCCTTCAGCAACAAGGCCCCAATCCAGGGTGCCTCCTCCCTGGACTGTGACGGTATGGAGAGGCTCGGCCTGCTCCGCATGCCGCCCACGGAACCGCTGGTGGCAGCCCACCTCCAACCGAGGCTGGCTTCGACACCAAGCAGGAACCCCATGCTACCGACAAAGGCAGACCGGTTCCAGTCAGCGATGACCGAACGGGCCTATAAAGCCGCAGCTTTGTCCGCCAGGGCTCTCAACGTCTCCTCGCTGCTGACCGCCTACCAGGCGGAGCTTTGCGAGGACATGTCGAGCAGACCTTAGCCTGCCGTGTGGGACGAGATCGCAGCGATCACGGACATTTGCCTCTGTGTGCAGCGCTGCGCAGTCCAAGCCACGGGCAAAGCGCTGGGAATGATGGTGGTACAGGAGCCAGGTGGCTCAACCTGACCAACCTTCCAGACCGGGAAAAAGAGGATGTTCTGGACATGCCTATTGTTCCCGAGGGCATATTTGGCTCCGCTCTAGCTTCAATGCAGCTGAGGTGCGAGTCAAAAAGGAAGGCAGATGAGGCTCTCCAGCTCTGTCTCCCCCGAAGGGTCCAGCCGCCACCTCCAATGGTCCCGCGGCAGGCCTTCACCCAAGCTGTCTCACGTCCTGCCCGGTTCAAAATACCGAAGCAGCAGAGACCGCAGCTCGTCCCGGGTCCCCAGCCCAGGCACGAGGCAAGAGGGAGCTGGCCAAGAAAATCTCCGGTTCCGGCAGCTGCCGCTCAGGCGCAGCCGACCCAGGTTTTCAGCCACCAGGCGAGGAAGAAGAAGCGGGCGGCCTGACAGCCTCCTCTCCTCTCCTCGATGAAGGAGCTGGAAGTTCCCTGCTCCCCAGCTCCAGAGCACGTTCCAGTGTTGGATGCTCATGTGTTTTCGGGGTGCCACCATGCCCCCGCCGCCTCGAGTGATGCCAGAACGTCATCCTCAAGTTCGCGCCATCAGGGAAATGGACTTAACATCAAAGACAGCAAGTTCTGCTGCCTGTTTAAGTCACACAAACACATGTCATCATTGTTGTTTCAAAATAAATAATTTTCCACTGTCGTTTCCAGGCTTGAAGCCAAGGGCGCAGTCAATAAAAATGAAAAGAAAAACAATAAAAACAATAAACAGTCTGTCATCTGCCCCTCTTTTGAGAGCGGCTACGGCCTCTCTCAAAAGGCGGACAATAGACGTGATTGTGAAGGCACCACCGCCACGCGCATGCGCAGTGTCGGCCTGGGGTACCACCGTGTTCAGACACTAGAGAACCCCATAACACAACAAATAGAGACGCTGAGGGCAGACGACAGAGCTGTGACATCTCTGCTCGCTCTGAGAAGCGAAAAGTGGAGGATGCTCACAGATTCTGCTTGGGTTTTCAAGACAGTAACACGGGGCTACAGGCTCCAATTCGCTGTCACCCCCCCCCCTCACTTCTCGGGCATTCTATATTCACAGGCCCGGGGAGAGTCGGCCCATATTCTAGAGCAAGAGATTTTCTCGCTACTAGAAAAGAAGGCTATATCGATAATACCCGTCGAACAGAGTCAGAGCGGCTTTTATTCCAAGTATTTCCTCGTTCCCAAAACGGGGAGGGAACGGAATTCGGCCTATACTAGATTTGAGAGCTCTGAACAAATATCTCAAAAGATACAAATTCAGAATGCTCACTCACACATCTCTGTT